CAGACTGCTTCCAGTTCTGGAAAAGGAACATCCACTAAAGAATTATGAGGGGAGGAATACATTGGCTGAAGAGAAATGGCAGACAGGAAAAGGCATAAGCCTATGCCCCTCCTCACTCCTCCGCTGATTCCCCTCTGGAAAAAATGCACCTCCCCTGAACTAGCATTACAAGACTAGCCTGGGATGAGGACCCTAATATTGCCTTCCCAAGGAACAGTTCCTCCCTCAGTGGTACAAGAATAGGCAGATCCAGGAAGCAGCGAGAAACCCAGAGAACGGCCATAACCTCAACCAAAGGATGAAGTCGGCAACATTTAAGGGCGGTTTCTCACCAAATGTGGCAATTATCACTCACAAACTAGATGGAGGACTTGAAACTGTTATTCTACTGCAATGCTGGCTGGAAGGGACACACCAAAATCTGACATTCGCTGTCGGGACTGATGTCCTGCCGCCAACTAGATGTTGCCTCCAGACACCCACCTGGAGCAGCGAGAAGTATGCTAGTCCTGTCTGAGTACAGATTGTTCCCCCATCCCAGCCTGCCACCTCATCCCCCCCTGCCCAAAGAAATCCCCGCTGTCTCGTACTCGGGCAAAGGCCCCCCCACAACCAAACTCCAGTCTCACAACAGTGAGGTGGCTCACGTGTCTGAGGAGACGGCCAGACGCCAGAGTCTTGTTGGGGACATCATAGGAGGCTTCCCGCATCTCAAAGGCCACGCCTGTGTTGCGCCACCGGAAAAACTCACGGGAATTGATTACTTTGGCCTGGGAGGAAGGAATGTAACAACTGTCTGAAAGCGGTACATTCCCCGGTCTTTGCCAGCCGGCCTGCTCAATGGGACGGCGGCCCCAAGCTGAGCCACTGGGATCGGATCGGCGTGTAAGAGTCATTCCCCCTTTCGGTTTTTCGCACCCCATGTTCATGCAGCTTCATGGTGAGATCCCAGTCGCAAACCCCACGGCGGGCGTCATAGCGGGCACCCAGGTACTGTCGGAGCCGCAGGTCCCAGAGCTGCTCCATCTGGAAAGCCCACGGATCCGGGTTCTTCCAGAAGCGAAAGATTGCCTCCAACTGGTCCCGCTCCTTGAACTGTTAAAGAAAGAGCAACCAAGAGTTAGTGGTCAGAGCCAGGATTCCTGAGTCTGAGGAGCTTTACCGATATTTTTTTTTTAATTCCTCTTGTCTTTCCCCCAAGATTGACCTCCAGGACGGCTTAAGAACCGTCACACCCCATATCTGCCCACTGTGGTGGGGAAGCCACGCCCTGCTCTTTACGCCTTTGCTACACCAGATCCAAATGGAGGCGGCCACCGTTTGGCCTGTCCTGCTGCATCTGTAAGCTGACTTATAACATCCTAAGCACTGGCCTACTGGCCTAGTCGTATCATCTCTGACGGGAAGCAGCTCTCAGCGCCTTTCCCAACAGTGTCTACCAAAGATGGCAGGCAAGACACAGAGCTGAGAAATTCCCTTTCACTGCCGGCCTTCCACAGGGGGGGTTAAGAACTCTTTGGTCGCCACCTTGCCTTCGGCTAACCTGCGGCATGCTCAGTGATTCTTTTGTCACATTAGTTTGCAATTTTATTTCCACCCCAAATGCATTTAACGTTTTTCTAGGGCGGGCGCGGTGGTGGTAAGACATTCTAAGTACCTTGGGGAAATGGCCAAAATAGTAAGCAACTTAAAAAAAAAAACCTGTAAAAAATCAGCTTAAAATTCAAAACATATGGGCCCCGGTCACACAGAGCATTAGCCACGTTAGAGAGACGGAAGATAGGTGGATTTTCCGGGTGTGATTTCACTGCCACATCTGGGAAGTGTAGCGCTCCCGTGGCTCAACCGAGGCTTCCCGCCGAAGATGCGCGGCAAAAAACTAGTACCTCAGAGGTACTAGTTTCCGGATACCATAGGGCAAAGGCAGGGGTCTGATCGCGTTTCCTGTGGCATCCGGCGCCCGGCCATGCCCCATTGCGAAAAGGGGTTTTTTTTCCGAGTTCTCCAGGGATGCACACAAGCACCCAATGGGGCATGCGCATACTTCAGGTTAAAAAAAACAAAAAACAACCCCGTTTGCCGTGCCACGCCGCTTCTTTGGCACGTCATGCAATTGGCACCTCCCCCCTAACCACGGGACCTCGACGGGATCGCGAGGGGACGCCTGATCGCGCAGTCGCGCGTTATTTCGCTGCAGGGCAAACAGCCACGCCCCCCGCGCGTGATATCCGGCCTGTGTGACCGGGGCCATAGAACAGCAAGAATAGCTCGCCATTACAACCATATATAATATTATTTGTCACCCAAAGCCCAGGAGGGAAGAGCCCAGCAGCTGGAGTTGGAAGAGGAAGACGTGAGACCCTCTGGAAGGGGAAGGGCAGCTGGGCCCAGAACAGCAACCAGGAATGGAGAAGGTCCGCGCGCATTTCACCTTGAGGGCCGACAAGTCCAAAGCGGGTAGGTCAGCCTGCTGAATACAGGGGTCGGTGACGTAACGGACAAAAAGGCCTGCCTTCTCCTGCAAGTAAGCGGCTGTCTGGCTTCGGAGCAGAGTATTCCCCATCAACTCCAAGAAGGTCTCGCTCTTCTCTGGAAGGGGAAGAAGTGACATAGTCTGGGATCATTCAGCAGGCCTGACCCCACTGGTAGGGGCCAGAAGCCAGGAACCCCCCAAGTACCCCTGCAAGGGTCTGACATCATCGGGGTGGGAAGAACATGTATCTGCCTTCACCTTGCAGACCCATCTTCTCCAGAGGCTCCAGCGCCAGGCTCAGAAATAGCAACTGCCGGCCCAGCACCTCCAGATTATTCTCCAGCACGTAAAACTGAGTATGGGAGAGAAAGAACAATTCAGAAGAGAAGAAGAAGGAGATTGGATTCATACCCCGCCCTTCACTTGGAGCCAGTTTGGTGTAGTGGTTAAGTGCGCGGACTCTAATCTGGGAGAACCGGGTTTGATTCCCCACTCCTCCACTTGCACCTGCTGATGTGACCTTGGGTCAGTCACAAGCTCTGGCACAGCTGTCCTTGAAAAAGAGCAGTTTGTGTCAGAGTTCTCTCAGCCCCACCCACCTCACAGGGTGTCTGTTGTGGGGAGGGGAAGGGAAAGGAGTTTGTAAGCCGCTCTGAGACTCCAAGTGAAGGGCGGGGTATAAATCCAATCTCTTCTTCTTCTTCTTCTTCTTCTTCTTCTTCTTCTTCTCATAGCGGCTTACAAACTCCTTTCCCCACCCTGTGAGGTAGGCGGGGCTGAGAGAGCTCTGACAGAAACTGCCCTTTCAAGGACAGCTCTGACAGAAGTATGGCTTGCCCAAGGTCATCCAGCAGCTGCAAGTGGAGGAGTGGGGAATCAAATCCGGTTCTCCCAGATTAGAGTCCGCGCACGTAACCACTACACTAAACTGGCACCAAATTCAGCTGAGCAAGGTTTAAATTGCTAACTCCAGTCCCAGAGAATCCCCAAGAATCATCTCAGTAATAGAGAAGGGCAGTATCGGGGGATGGGGGAGTTGGAGATCTAGCACAATTCTTCTTCCAATGAGAGTTGCAGGCAGCAGTACAGCAGGCGGAGAGGACAGCTTCCTCCCAATCTTTATGTTCCTTTTCATTATTATATCGCCTCTGCTTGTTTACTATTTTCTTTGTATCTACCGATGTTCTCCGATGTTCTCCGTGACATTTCAGACTAAGCGAGTGATTACTGGGTGAGGGAAAAAACGCTCTGAGGAAGAAAAAAGGCTTCTTCGAACCCTGCTCGTGGTCTTTGCCAAGGCGTCTGACTGACCCCTGTAGGAAATGGAATGCCAGACGGGCCTTTGCTCAAGACCAGCAGAGCTCTTTTGACATTCATGAACTACAAACAAACGTCTGCAAATATCACATCGTGAGGCATGAATGCCAAGGAAAGATCAGTCACAGGGCGCAGAATCCCAAATGCATTCCAAAGGCCTGCCTGACAAGCTCCCAGGAGAGAAGCTGGGGTGAAATTCCAGTTTCCTAGAGAAGAGAAGCCATTACTCCCATTCAGCAGCTCTCCCACCCCACCCCACCTCTTTCCATGTAGAACCCGAGAATCTTCCACTGAAGGAAAATGCTGCTGTGGATGGGTTTATCTCTATGGATTGCCTTTGAATACATCACCTCATTAGAGTCCAAGGTTTGCTTAAAGAAGGTTAATGTTCCGTTAATGGCTGTCAGTGGTCCCCACCATTACTCACCAGAGGGTAATTCACCTATTTGGGGGAGGGGAGGGAATCTAAAACAAGTGCCTGGCAGATTGTTTGGGAGAAAAAAGAAGAGTTGGTAGTTTGGGGGGAGAGAGAGAGACATTTTCCGCAGGGATGGCTCTCCCCGCGCCTGCACCTGTATTCGTCCGCCCTTTCCCTCGTTTCCGCAAATGTTTCTGCAGTCCCAGGAGCAAAAATGCGGCTTGCCCCCTCTTGTGATGCAGCAGGGGAATTTCTGGAAACAGAGAAGGCCGATGCTGCGGAGGAAGAGGGGACGAGCGGTGTGTTTGCTCCTGGGACAGCAAAAACATTTGCAGAAATGAGAGAAAGGGGCAGAGGAATACAGGTGCAGGGAGAGCCGTCCCTGTGGAAAACATCAGAGAGAGAAAGGGAGGGAGAGGGGGAGGGAGAGAGATGGCTTAAGATGAGGCATCTTGGGGTACAGGCCGGGCTCGTCTCTTCATCTTCCTCTAAGGAACTGATGCAACTTATGAGATCTGCTTCCTTGTGGAAGTACCTGTTTGCCCTCCAGACCCCTCATCTGTAACCCAGTGGATCACATTTCCCCTCTCCGCATCCTTTCCTCTGCCCTAATCGGACCCATTCCCCATTTGGCTTCCTGTCACTTGGCTGAGCTGCCTTCCCTCCCAAGGAGCCCCAGAGAAGTCGCGGCACCTGCCCACTCTGCTGCAGCCCAGCTCGCGTCTCTCTCCTCTGGCAAAGCACCCTGGAGCCAGGAACCCTCCCAACTTTGGTACCAATGATCCAGGCACTGATGCTCTCCCCCGCCTCCCTGCTCCCATGCCTCCTTCCCCCACATCTGATGCTCACGTCTCCTTAACATGAAGCGATACTCAAAAAAGGAGACGCGCCGGGCTGGCTCTGCTGAGTCATTGCCTCGTGATGAGGGGAGGTCGCGAAGGGCTGCGCTGGTGACACGTTGTCTAAGAGGAGCTGCTACGGGGGAAGAGGCCCGAGCCCACACTGCCTCCACGGTGACCCTTGTCCCTTTGCCCTCCACAAGCTTCACGCCTCCCTCTCACATGTCAGCTGGGGGCCTTTTCTGAGGGACACGGTGGCCGGGCTGAGCCGAGACGCTCGCAGCCATGGACAGCTGCCAAAGTGTCCCTGCCAGACTCCTCATGTTGACAGGAATTAATTAATGTCACCATGCATTTGGGGAAAGGGAAGATGGGGCGGAGTACCAGCATCACTTCTTCAAATGGAGAGTCGCAGCCAAAAAGAGCTCATTTCTCTGGTCCAGTTCGACAAAATAACCCTTCCCTTCACGAAAAAAAAGGGCCTGTGTTCCTAGTCCTCTTGATTTATTTAAGCTCCCCCCCTCCCCCCGGCCTTCTGAAGCACCCTTAAGAAGACGAAGAGGAGGAGATTGGATTTATCCCTCGCCCTTCATTGGAGTCTCAGAGCGGCTTACAAACTCCTTTCCCTTCCCCTCCCCACAACAGACACCCTGTGAGATGGGTGGGGCTGAGAGAGCTCTGACAGAAACTGCTCTTTTTCAAGGACAGCTCTGACAGAACTATAGCTTGCCCAAGGTCATCCAGCAGCTGCAAGTGGAGGAGTGGGGAATCAAACCCGGTTCTCCCAGATTAGAGGGTGGCGCACTTAACCACTGCACCAAACCACTACCCCAGAATGAGGGTACAGTCTTGTAGGTTCACTTATTGTGCAGAAGTTCACTTTTTTTCCCCTAACAAGGCCTTATAGTACCCACAATTTCCTATAATATTCATAGGCACCTCAAAACACCGCCCCCCAAGAATATCTAGAAAATAATCTAAACTGAGCTATGTATCTCAGGAATCCAAATTCACACAGGATCACAGGAAGGAAAACACCACTGAGGATATAGTGATGTGTGTTATCAAAAACGCCTGGAAGGGGTCTTCGCACGTCTGTGTGGATGGTGGGGGTGAACACGGGGGAGCTTGATACAGGCACATGCCAATGCAGCCTGAGAAAGTCCTCCTGATGGGGGAGGGGGCAGACGGCTGCCCAGAGGAGACAGAAACCCTACAATGGCTGAGAGCACCCTATACTCCCAGTCTCGTTATCTAGGATTTAAACATTGCTTTTTAAAAACTGGGAAAGGTCTCCACAATCTTCATTTTGCTCTTCCATACGAGGACCCTGTGGGGACTGTTAAAGGGCCACGCAGGTACACTGCTGAGCAGGGCCAGACACCTGGCAGCTCGCAGACTGACTCAGACCGTCCAAGCAATTGTATCCGGCCACATCGTATTTTACAGCATATTGGTAAGTTTCTTTTGCAACTGGAACTACGGGTGGTGGTGGTGGAGATGGCTGTGGAGTCACGAGAGAGAGAGAGACCGCACAGTGAGTCCGTCACAAGTTTCCTTCAGCCGTAAGCTGCTGCAGAGCTGCAGCAGCTGGAAGCAGCAGGTGGCACCCACTGAACTGAAACGGCAGAACCACCACCAAGACTTCCTCCCCTTCCAGATTTTGGTTTGTCCCCGAGGGAGCCTCAGCCTTTCCCTCTTGAGGGACAGAAACAGCCTGGCCTCCTGTCTCTTTTCAACCTACTGCTTAATAAACCGGACCCTCGCACCACTTCCCGGGGGGGGGGGGGGCGAGACACAGACAGGTTTTTTTTAGGCAGGACCACAATGCTTCACTTCACCTTGAATGTTACTTGTTTGTTATTCTGATATGTTTATGCCCCAACTTGCTTCCACAGACCTCAAAGCAGAATAAGCTGGGCACCCAAGATGTCTCCAAGCAGTGATGATACTCAGACCTGCTTTTAGTTGCAGCTGCCTTCGGACTATGCCCCGGGATTCTGTACCCGGGCTGCCTACGACCAGGCGTATGTATGCCAACACTGTCAGACCAACTTTACTACAGAGTCTCATCATCCAGAATGTGTTCAGTTCTGCCACTCCCCCCCCTCAAATCCGGACCACTGTGTCCCCAGTGATACAGAAATTGGCCAGCGCCTTGCTGCAGGGAGAAAACAAAGCCCAGACGCTCAAGACGCCGAGTGAGATATTGGAGTCTGTGTCTGCACAGTCACGCTGCCAATCCGGGGAAAGCACGCCGCCCTGCTCACCATCTGCCTGGCAGCCTCTTGCCCTCTTCTGCTGTTCTGGCAGAAAGCGTGCCCAAGAACTATCTAGGAAAGCGGCAGACCTGCAAAATTCACCTCCTCGTGTCATCCCGGCACGACAGGCTGATAACAAGACAAACCTACTTATGAACGATGGAGAAAAAACAAACAACAAACCCCTGCAGTGACGCCTTGAACTGCCTCCCAGAGCGCCGCTGTGACGCCTCGGCGCTTCCCCCATCAGATTCCTCCTCTGAAACCATCTTTTGAATTCTTCTTTTGGTGCACGACTCCTTCGGGCCAAGCTGTATGAGATGCTTCTCCTCTTTCAGGGCCCAGGCAGCCCTGCAATGGGGCAAATAATGCCCCCCCCGAGCCTGCTTTGGGTAAGGAAAATGGTGTGGGGAGAAGCTGAAACTCTGGATATACCCACTGTGCCACCGCTCCCCTTTTATAGGGACTCTGGGGCAAGTGATGCTCTGTCTTCTTGGTGCTTGGGGGGGTCAACAGTGGGAGGGCTTCTAGTGTCCTGGCCCCACTGGTGGACCTCCTGATGGCACTGGTTTTTCTGGCCACTGTGTGACACAGAGTGTTGGACTGGATGGGCCTTTGGCCTGATCCAACATTGGCATCTCTTCCCAAATTACCATCACCATTAACCTGTGCCATGGTCCTCCTGATCCATATTCGACCCAGCAGTGCTTGGGGAAAATAAGCACCCTGCAGCTGCTGTGAGGCTGCAGGGAATGTGTGTCACGTCAGGAAAACCATGACTCAACTCATAGAGTAACGTCTTGTGTAGTTCAGGCCTTAGTTAACACCCCACAGAGACACCAAATACATGTAACCAAACTGAATGCATATTCTTCCAGTTTACCTTCCACTTCATGTTCCTTCCCTCTCTCTCTGTTATATCCCCTTTGTTGCACTGAATTTGTAAACTCTTCAGGGCAGAGACCTATCACGAATCCATGCTTTATACCAAGTCCGACTATTGTCCCATCTAGCACATGATGATAACTAACACTGTCAAACGAACACCGTCATCAACATGTTAATGCCAGACCCAAATTACCATCACCATTAACATGTCACGGCCAGACGCTGCTAATGTCTGCCGTCGCCCGCGAACAGCACTGGCACTTTACACTGTGTTTTAAAAGAGTATTGTGGTGGTTTTATTTAATTTTGTGTTTTAACGTTTAATATGTTTTATGTCAGCTGCCCTGAGCCTGCCTTGGCAGGGAGGGCAGGATACAAATTAATTAAATGAATGAATAAATGAATAAATAAATAATGACTGGCAGTCTCTCTCCGG